CAGCAACCAGAAACCAGCAGCCAGCAACCAGCAGCCAGCAGCCAGCAGCCAGCAGCCAGCAACCAGAAATCAGCAACCAGCAGCCAGCATCCAGAAACCAGCAACCAGAAACCAGCAGCCAGCAACCAGCAGCCAGCAGCCAGCAACCAGCAGCCAGCAGCCAGAAACCAGTAGCCAGCATCCAGAAACCAGCAACCAGCAACCAGAAATCAGCAACCAGCAGCCAGCATCCAGAAACCAGCAACCAGAAACCAGCAGCCAGCAACCAGCAACCAGAAACCAGCAACCAGCAGCCAGCATCCAGCAGCCAGCAACCAGAAACCAGCAGCCAGCAACCAGCAACCAGAAACCAGAAACCAGCAGCCAGCAGCCAGCAGCCAGCAACCAGCAACCAGAAACCAGCAACCAGCAACCAGAAATCAGCAACCAGCAACCAGCAGCCAGCATCCAGCAACCAGAAACCAGCAACCAGCAACCAGCAGCCAGCATCCAGCAGCCAGCAACCAGAAACCAGCAGCCAGCAACCAGCAACCAGCAACCAGCAGCCAGCAATCACCAACCAGCAACCAGCAACCAGCAACCTGCTTCCTGTTTCTGTCTGTCCAGGGGAATAATCCGGGAATCCAAAAACCAACAGATGTGATCATTTTTCTGAAGGTCACTTTGTAATCCTTCTTCACAGTTACAAGGAGTCTGATTACGTGACTGACGAGGTGTTGAGTTTTACTGGCTAAAGTAAGAAGAAAATCCAGTTTACAGTCTAACTGCCCCGCCTGTAAGAGTTAAAGGTCCTGAGAACGCCAGAGTTACTCAAGGTTCTCATCAGTCGGGATCCTTGAAAGGTTTGACATCCAACAAAAGGCTAAAGGTCAGTTTTAAAGTTAAAGGTGTATCAAACAGTTAGAGGGTCCTTCCAATCTTTAAGTTTCAGCTGCTCAAAGGTTTGAGGCTCTTTAATGTTTGAGGTGCCATTAAACCTCAAAACAGGCTTTAGGTTTTTCTATATTGCAACATTTATTTCTTCGTCACCCTCACTGAGCTTCTCTCCAGATCTTGGATCCAGAGCTCACACTCCAACCAACGCCTACCTTGAAGTCGTATGTAGCGTCCGGGTTCTCATCGCAGGCGATGACCTCCGGGGCCATCCAGTACGGCGTCCCGATGAACGTGTTCCTCCGCCCCACCGTCCGGTCCAGCTGGGCGCTCACACCGAAGTCCACTGTGGAAACACAGAGACGGTCCTGAAGGAGGCGCAGGCCTGGGCCTCCTTCACACCCTGCAGCTGAGGGTTCAGTTCCTCACCCAGCTTGACCTCTGCGTTTTCCGTCAGCAGCACGTTCTGCCCCTTTATGTCTCTGTGGATGACTTTGTGCTGGTGGAGGTGGGTTAGTCCCTGGAGAAAGATGCAGAGTAAACACCGTTAAAGTTATGGAAAACCTGGGACCAGGTCAGGTTTCCTTTAGTTTCTGTTTCAGATAAACCAGTGAGCTCCTCACCCTGAGGATCTCCCTGCAGATGTAGGCGATCCACTCCTCCTTCAGCGAGTTCCCTTTGGTGTTTTTGATCAGGTCCGTCACCGACCCGGCTCCACAGAACTCCATCACCAGCTGTCAGGGCCACAGAAACACTTCACACGCTGCAGAACGCCTCCTGACAGACCAGACCTAAAACAATCCGTAACATTTCACCGGTTTATGAAAACAAACTCCTACCCAAAGCTGGTCGTCCATTCCTGGAGGGTTCTTCTTGATGAAGGCGCCATAATAGGTCGCGATGTTCCTGTGGTGACTGTACTTCTTCAGCATGTTAATCTCAGCTTTAATCTCCTCTTCCTCGTCCTGGAGGATGAGAACAAGCACATAGAAAGATTCAGTTCAATAAAAATCTGCAGAGCGCGGCAGGATTAGCATGCTGGGTGTGACACGTACTCCGGTGACGTCCATGACCTTGATGGCAGCAAGCTGGCCCGTTTTGACATGGCGACCCTGAAAAAACGCAGATAGAGGATGAGACAGTGACAAAGCAAAGGAAACATTCAGTTATATGAAATATTTCTGCACTCATGAGTGATCATCAGCGTGAACGTCTCTATGAAAGCAGGACGTCTGGAAGTTTCTGCTGCCAAGCCGGAAAGGAAACATCAAAAACCTTTAGGAGAAACTCCTGCTGCCCGTCCATCCTATAAGGACATTTCCTGACCCTAACAGGTCCATCACTCTACAGAGAGGAAGGTTATCCACAAAATGTCCCAAACAGCTTGGAGAAAAAATAAAAACAACAAGGAGCTTCATTTCAGACTCTGCTGGCCTCCGTTAGCAGGTTAAAGTTTGTGACAGGACAATAAGAGGAAGATCGATTTGTCTGAAAGGATCTTCATCTCAAACCAACCAAGGAAAACGGGTTTGGAGGAATGAATGACAAAGATACACCCTCCTGCTGATAAACGGTTTTCCTGTAACAGTAAGCTGTTTCTCCACCATTAGCAGCGAGTACATGAGGTTGACTGACAGCGCTAAGACCCGCCTCCTGGCTCTGATTGGTTGTTTTTGGTTCATTTCTCCAGACGACAATAAAAACTCATGGAGGAGGTTCAGGAGATCGATTTTACACAGATTATCTGTTTCATAACAAACTGTCACAAAATGATTCCAGTTTTATCAAATATGTAAAAATAATTTTTTATAAAAGTTACAGACTGCAGCTTTAACAAATAAATATCACTCTTATGCTGATTTCTTTGTCAGTGATTGATAACCTATCAATAACTCCTCTGTTCTGGATCGATAAATTAAAAAAACAGAAATTACATTTTATATTTAAGTCCTTTTGTTCCTGAATCTTTTTTATGACATTTCTTGTGTTTTAGTTGAGTTTCTGTTTAATTTCATTCATTTCGTCGTCAGGTTTCTCTGCCTTTGTGCCGCCACAGCTCTGAATCATCGCCCACATCTCTGCTTCCTTCTCCCCGTTGGAAAACAGCTGAAGCAACCGGAGCGTCGCAGGCTGGATTAGGACCAGAGCAGAGCTCCCCCCATAAAGCAGCAGAGAAACAGAGTAAATCATGGATGACAGAGACTCAGCTGTGCAGCTTTCCTCAACTGTTTTAACATGAACACGTCACTTTCCACACAAAGGCTGAGCGGCCATACGTACGGAAATACATCCGCTCATAATTCGCTTTTAATGAGGTAATAAATTCACTTTCTCATCTCCATTTGACATTTTTTAATTTTATATAGCTGTGATAATATGTGAAAATATTCCCAGGATGTTTATGCTGCTAACTGAGAATAACAGTTTAACATTTTTTCAAATGTAATAAATCTAATATTTGTTCAAATTCAAGCTCAAAACACAACAAACAAATCTGTAGGAAGTAAAAATCAGAGGGGAAATGAAGAAATATGAGGCAGAAATGGACGACCTCCTTCCAGTGTTTCTGTGCTCGAGTCTTTCCTGGACAGAGCCGTGGCTGAAAGCTGCGCTAACCTTCTCAGATCTCTTTGCTTTTCCTGCCCGTAGAAAGTACACCTGGCCTGGGGTTTCTGTATTTGACCTTATCTCATCTTTAATGTAAACTTCATTATTTCTGCCACACTTTGTGTTCTGTTTGTTGTTTTTTTCATAGAAAGTACTCCTAGTTCAGTGTTTCTGTATTTAGTTGTGGATTTTGCTGCCGCTGGTTTTGTGTCATCTTTCTGTTTTTTCAGTGTTTTTGTTTTTTCCAGACTCATTGTCGCTAACGCTAGCTGTTTGTTTTCTTTCTAGTAGAAAGTACACCTGTCTTATTGCTTCTCTGTTTAGCCATGAAACAATCAACAGAGGTATTACTGCCTCTGATTTTGAGTGGTGTTTGTGTTTTCTTTCCTATAGAAAGTACCCCTAGCTCAGTGTTTCTGCTGGGATTTTCATTACATTTGAGTAAACTCTTTGTTTTTCTTTCCTATAAAAAGTACCTCTGGCTTGATGCTACACTGTTTAGCTGAACCATTGACATGACAGTCAGCTCTATAGTTGATTTTAATTCACATAGAAAGTAATCCTGGCCCAGTTCTTTTTTCAGAGGTAACTTGGTGAAGCTTGTCTTCATTGCTTCCTCTCTGGATCCGATCAGTTTAACAGGAAGCAGTTGAGCCGGTTTAGCATCAGAAAGCTGAAACGTTGAACCTGAGTGTGTAACGTGAGAGAGGAACAGGAAACCGAAGACAAGAGACGGAGCAGGAAAGCAGGCGGAGGGAGGAGAAGAAGAGGCTCTCCGTCCTCCGAGGTGATTTGGGTCCTGTCAGAAACATTCAGCGTCTGATGCAACGCTGAGTAACCGAGACGCCGCGTGTGAACGCTCAACTGACCCTGTGTGTGTGTGAGCCATCACGGCCTCCTCACACACACACACACACACACGCCTCACGCTGCCATCACTTTGCCTCCTTCGAAGCCTCCCCATTGGCTGGCCCGGCTGCCTGGCCTGTTGCTATGGTTACCGTGAGGAAACGGAGAGTGTGCGGTGAAGTGAATGAATTTGCACTTTCCCGGCCTCAGCAGCTGCGCTGATTCTGACTCCAGAGTCAGCGGGAGGAAGCTGAGGGTTATCGCTGCTCTCCTGCCTTTAAAAAAGAACGAGGCAGGTTGAACTGGTTGAACCGATCCGGGAATAAACGGGCCTTCAGAACCAGAACCGGAATAACAGTCCAGAACTAAACGATTGGAACGAAACAGAAAGAGCAAAAAAAGACAAACCAGTAAATCCTGCAGAGAGCTGATGCATCTAACATGACGACTATTAAATCTCCATAGTTTAATTTAACTCCAGTCTGGCTGCCTAGTCAAAGTCCGATTCAGTTTGCGGAGGTGTGAACGCTAATCGGACTCCGGTCCGCCTCCAAACCTCGGTCTGGGTTCGGTTGAAGTGAACTCTGGTTCGGTTTGAATGTGAACGCCAAGCAGACTGGAAATCGCTCCAAAAGCAGGAAGTGGACTACAGCACAAGGCATTGTGGGTAAATACAACCAAAGCTAACGTGCTAGCCTAGCGCTAGCAGGAGAATTGACTCACGGTTTGTTACCAAAATTAAAAGAGAAATCCTCCAACAGCTAAAATCTGACGCCTGCATTTATTTTCCATTTGGTGAAGCAGGAAGTTGCGCTCAGAGGTTTTTGTGTCGTTCCTTCAGTGGTTCTCGGTGTAGCGCCCCCACAGGCCAGGAGGGGAACAGGTTGCTCAAAGAGTTCAGTTGGTTCGTTCACCAATCGAACTGAGTCGACCGGACTAACAGGTGTGAAAAAAAGGAATCATAAATGAATGAACAACAAAGAAGTTCAGCAAAATCACAGCAGGAGACGAACAAAAACAAGCAGAACAAACAAAAATGTTCAATAAGTTAAAGTTAAATCAACCATTTATCTCGCTCCTCTTTATCCTTTTCAGTCATTGAACTGGAAACCAGACAAAACCCTTGTAAGATTTTGTGTTTTTGCAGTGCAGAACCCAAACCACCAGAAGACGTGAACAAATGAATGAACTAAAAGTGAAAACGCCTTTAGATACAAAACGATTCACATCTTCATCTTCAGGAGCCGCTTCGTCTCAGGATTCATAGACTGAATGGAAAAGTCTGAAAAATGATTGATCTGGATCACAGGAAACTCTGGGTGCTTGAAAAATACATAAATATAAAATCTTCAACAAATGATTATTTATAAATCAATTACTCTATTGATTATTCTAACAGTTAATAGATCAAATGGATAAGAAAACTAAACATTTGCACATTTTTCATGTAACTGATTAAATGTTTTTATACAATATTATAAATACATAAAGAGATGCTGATGTTGATTATTTATTGATTAAGTGATTAATAACTGGTTCAAAAGGTGATTAATAGGAGATTTTTACAGGTGAATGTAAAACTATGTTACTTTAGGAGAACTGAGTAAAACATGTTTACAGACAAAGAAGTTTTTATTTTATCTTAAGTGGAAAATGTTTAGATTTTTTGTAGTTTTGGTTTAATTATTGCTCTTGTTTCAGTAAATGGCCTTTTTTAGTCTGTATGCTCCAGTTAATTATTTGATTAGTAAATTAATTAAATAATCGATTCATCATGATAAACCAGATTAACTGTTTACTAATTGAAAATGCAGAAACCATAAAACCTTTCAGATCATTCATGATAATATGTCATAACTGTTTGATTTATTGTCTTTCAAAGAGAAAACGCATTAAACCCATGAACACCTGGGCTGGCTGTGGATTTGGGAGGGATTTTCTCACCCAGATGGGTGTGTGAAGCGACTCCTCGGGCCGCAGGTTAAGTGTGTGAAGCGCGGCTGTGACTGCAGGACAAATGGCAGCGATCCGCCGCGATGAAGCAATAAAAGGAGCGGCAGATAACGCCGGCCAGATGAGAGGAAGCGATGATATCTCAGAGAGCCTCTTTGTTTTGCTATCGCTTTTCCCCCGACACACCGAACGGCCAGACTATCTCCCAGAGGTGACGCTCAGCTCCCAGTGCGAGTGTGTGTGTGTGTGTGTGTGTGTGGGTGTGTTTGTGTGTGTGTGTGTGTGTGTGTTTGTGTGTGGCGGAGATTAAGGCAAAGGAGAGAAGAGTGTCTGTATATATGCAGCGATAAAGATAGAGCCTTGGTGAGAACGGGGGGAGGAGGATGGCTCTGCTGCTGCCTGAGGCATAAAAACACACCTCAGGTCCGGATCCAGTCATGCCGCGCATTCCTGACCCAGACACAAGCCTGGGCACATGGAGGCGGGTCGGAGCAACACCAGCCGGGTTCAGCTTCATGACAGGAAAATACATCAGAGAAAACCAACCTGTACACTTTAAATTAAAATATATTGGTAGTAATATTTTAATTGTCCAAATCAGGCAGTGTAGTACAGTGCCTCGCCTCAGGGGGCGCTGTGTCACACAAACAGAATGAAGCAGGCAGTTGGTGGATGCTTGTTGCTGTTCTCTTAGACATGTTGC